GCGTAAGCAATTGAACATTGTCAGTCTGTTGCTGAGCTGCGTGACAATCTTCATCCACCGTTTCTAATTCATGCTTTGACGTTGAATTTATGAAATCTATGGCTGAACATTTTGTAAACATTAAATAATCTTTTATAATAGCAAATACAATGAAAAATATATCACAGCTGATAAATTATATTGTTAGCAATACAAACGTAAAAAATGTTTGTAAAATATTGGATATTTGTCATTCTTTAAGACATAAACTAAGACAGAAACTAACCAAAACTTTCGAAAGTTATGAGATATCAAATCATACTTGAAACGAATTTTTTGCCGTATACATATATTTGAAACAATTCTGAATAATTCACAACTTATCAGTAATCGGGGGCTTTTCGACCTGTGTGCACACACTTCACCACATATACATATACATAGTGGTCAATCAAATGATATCCATTTAATTTAATTTTACTTCTGCAAGCACTCCAAGCACTTTAAAATCATTACCCATTTTATTTATTATTTATCATATTACAAACTTGTTAGATCATACATCTTTTCTATTAATTAATAACTCTCGACATTCTCTAAAAAAAAGTATCAACTTATGTAAATCGAAAAATTACTAATTTATGGGACATTTCAAATTTAATTTTATAGAACTTGTTGCATAAAAACGCAAGAATAATTCCTGTTTTCCTATATCTTCTGTACGATAAATTTTGTAAAATTAAAATTAAAATATCTCCTGAATTAAGTATTTTTAAGTTGATACTTTTTTTTTATAGAGAATGTCAATCTATACCAATTAAAAAATTGGAGGTGATCTTAAAATCTCCAAAAGTCTACCAACTACAAAAAAGTCATTACTACATTATAGCACATTTTTATACTAAAAGAACAGAGATATTCAAGTGGCAAATCTTATTAAATCAATACATATATAAATTTTATTTATATAAATAATATATATAAACTGAATGTGATCATTTAAAACCATAAAACTTATTTCATTATTATTATTATTTATTTAGTTTAAATTTATGAAAAATCAACATCAGTTGTTTGTAACTTGAAAGGTTAATGTCAAAAAAATTGTTTTATAATCTTAAAATTTCATTGACAGAACCTCCATTATATTAGAGGCTTCATTGTTACAATGATCGAACTTCGCCAAATAATTTAAACCTGTTGCTTGTTTGCCACTCATATTTGTTTTCATAACAACAAAACTATTTCATTCACAATTTGTATATTTATGGATTGTATGTTGATTCATTGAGTTTTATAGTTCAACGAAAATTCGCCTTAGATTTATGTTTCCTGTGACCTCTTTCGTTCAAATGCCTTCAGCTTTGAAATTCCCAAGATCACTTTGATTTCTTTCGTCATAAGATGAGTTACAGTTATATAAAATTGTATTTCAATTTTCACTAGACAGCATCATTAATCGTGATTCAGTCATTTTGCTCGGTTTTTTTGCAGTCAGATACGCCATAGACTCCATTCTTCCGTAAGATCAGTAACGATATCGTAAAGAAAACAAGATAAAGAAGGAGAAAGATGAAAACGAGAGACGTCCGGCATCGCGGCGCCTATCCAGGACACGAACGACGCCGTCTAGCTTAGTTTTGAATTTAGCAATTACTATGAGATCTAGCACAGAGCTTCTTCTTTATTTTTCTCATCACATTTTGCGAGATACTTTGAATACATTCAAAATTGTGAAAATTCAAGATTATCAGGTTTTTAAAATTTTTTTCAGTACTTACAATGAGTCTGTATCAGACCAGAGTATCATACAGATAATCTGAAATGCCTAAAATAATTAAATTATTTCAAAGAGGATAACGTATTAGAATGTATGAAATAAATATATTACAAAGATGAATATATTATTAATTTGTTACATTTCATTCGATATTAAACTTTTAAATTTTTAGTAATTTTAGTAAACACTAAAGGTCAGAAGGTTGAGAAAATATTTTAGAAATATACCAAATGGTAAAATGTGATTATCGTATTTTGTAACTTTGAAAATAATTCCAAATTCTAAGAATATAAGATTATCATATTTTACAAAATATCCCAAATTATAGAAATGTGAGATTATGATGTTTTGTAAGATATTTTGAAAACATTTCGAATTGCAAAAATGTGAAATTAACACATTTAAGATGTTTCAAAAGTACCCCAAATTGTAAACTGTAAAGAGATACTTTTTAACAGTTATAAGAAATTTTAATAATTTTATATTGATATTTTATTGATTCATTTGACTAATTTTTTTTAAACAATTTAATTAATTTGATGTTGTGAACATCAACTATTAACCGACAATGTACTGTGTGTAATTCTTAAAGCAAAAGATATTTTTCGTTAAAAAGAAGCAAACAAAAGACAAAATGTTAAACATGGTCGTTGGAACATATCAAAGGATAAAAGCAACTCTTTTATTTGAAAATATTGTTTAGAATGTATAAGCAATATAGTATTTTTTAATTATATAATTCTTTCTTCTTGAGAGAAATATATTTTGAAATATTATTAGCGAATTATATTTTTTACAAAATATTTTTTAATATTATATATATTTTAATATTCTTTACAAAATATTTTTTAATACATAAATGTGTGTGTATACAAATATATCGGGCATTTCCATATTTTTGCATTTTCACATTGACTTTTAATGAGTAGTTGATGTTTCATAATATCTATCTAGTATAAATCTTGAATAAAGAAACACTAATATGTAGAAAGAAAACCTTGCAAAATTATTATATTATATTAATTATCATTTTATATTATTATTACATTACAGTAGAACTTCATTTATCCGAATCTCGTTTATACAAATCAATTAATATTAGTTCTCAGATATATAAAGTCATAATTGATCAACTTCTTATGTTTATCTACTATCTCTTATTCAAACAAGAATAGAATATAAAAAAAGCTAATGAACCTCTATTATTCAAACTTTTCGGTTATCTGAATATCTTGTCTCTTAATTAGATTATATATATATATATATATATATATATATATATATATATATATAT